CATAGTCTAAACTCTTGTAGGGGGCTTATATAGGGGATTTTAAAGGGGACTACTATAGGGGTTATTAAGGGGGATATTAGGAGTTTAGACTATGGCTCAAATGGTAGTTTCCATTCCAGAAGGGGCCCAAATGTCTTATTGCTTATTATAGGGGACGCCCCAGAAAGGGACCCCTACTTATTGGACCCCCCCCAAAAAATCCTTTCACGTACTAGTTCCACTTCATGTCCATTCGCTTTTCTATTTGATTTGCCATTGTTGGGAGTAACATCCCGAACGCCAAACGTTAAACCCTAAACAGTAGTTTCCACATTCTTTTGAACTATCCACCTTATCCCTGAAGCCAAAGAAAATTTCTGGACAAGGCCAGGCACTTGGAGATTCAGATCTTGGGCGACGAGTACGGCAACACGCTGGCACTCAACGGCCGTGACTGCTCCACACAGCGCCACCCGCCCAAAAACCTAACAACCTTGAACCCTAAACCCTAGTAACCCCAAACCCCAACAACCCTAAACCCTGACCGTACAGATCAGGCTTCAGGCTTGACAGTTGTGTGTTTAAATGTGGTATAGGATGGAGGGATTCTCCAATTGGGCTTTGCAAGTATGGTAGATGGCTCCGCGTTGACGGCACAACCCCCAGAGCTTGTTGGTTTGACGAAGGATGCCTCTATGATACCAAGACCACGGCTACTCATCCGCAACACAAAGGTGCAGAAAGGATGTGACCCTAACCACAAGCCCCTCAGCACTGCACATCTAAATCCCAAACTTGTAGCCCCCCGCAACGCTCAGGCCGTTTCCAGAAGATCTTCGAGGAAGGCCCTCCGACGATTGCCAAGCCGGAGGCCCCTTGTCTGGCTGAGTGTGTTGAGGGAGGAACAGTTCAATACGTCCCTGGCGAGCATGCGCCGCATGGGACACGCTCAGTATACAGCAGTACTACGCAACACAACTATGAAAGTGCCTCAGCACGCCATATGCTACCATCAGAATGATTGGAACCTTTTTGCAACAGAGCGCAGAGCCCATCGCGGAGGGCATGCCCTATGACTTACAAGACATCACTGCTCACAGAGCATGTCTGCTTCGGTTCGTCTTGGCCTACCTTTAGCAGGCCCACGCCCGCAGTTGCATGTGGCCTAGTTTACTTTGCTACCCCGGGCCAATCCGAGTTCTCAAAATCCAGAGGATGTGGTCTCGCGGCCAGAAGAATTCCACCAGCCTGAGCCCTAACCCTAAGCCCTTGTCCCAACAACAAGGAAGCAGTCGCCTCCTTTTGTTGAGTTAAGCCCTCAACAATGCGGGGAGCTTGATCATCTCGCCCAATGCCGACACTCTGCCCCGCCAAGGATACATACTCCCCTGATATACAGGGTTTAGAGGGCCTGGCTATACACCCCAACATGCTCTTATCCTTATGGTCGGGACCCCAGAAACGGATCCATATTTGCTTTGCGGGAGGCGACACCCCTGAATCCGTTTGAGCAGGAGAGCCTAAGCCTTAACCTTCAACCCTATCTCATTCCAACATGTGGGCTTCCCAAAATTGTGGGACCTTGTTGCGGGGCTTCCTCTAACAAGGATCATAGTATCTTGAGGTTTATATTGGGGTCTCCTATTCGGGGAAGCTACCATATGACTAGTACCCTTTTTAATAACCCCTATAGGCCCTATTATACTCCATTGTATAAACCCCTACATACTCCTCTTTTAGGAGTTTGGAATTAAGCCCTTATGAATGAAACAGCCCAAACCCTAAGTCCTAATGAGCCTAAACCTTAAATCCTACTAACCCTAAAAAACCCTAAACCCTAAATCCTAATAACCCTAAGCCTTAAATTCAAATAACCCTTAACCCCAGAAACCCTAAACCCCTAAATCTCCATATCCCTAATCAACCTTAAGCCTATATACCAAGGTCTTCCATGAGATGGAACGCGCAGCCATGAGGCTGACGGCCTTGGTAGGCTACCGCGGCGCAGGTACCCTTGAAGTCGATGAAGGGGGTACGGTAAGGTTTAGGTTCTAGGGTTTAAGGTTTGGGGTTTAAGGTTTGGGGTTTAGGGTGTAGGGTTTAAGGTTTGGGGTTTAGGGTTTCTCAAGAGTATGGGGTACCTTTGAAGGGGTTCTGGAGGGGCAGATAGGGGCTCAGGCTATAATGAGGATTCTAGTAACTTAGCTAGTGCGAAACATCTGTTTAAATCCGGGTGTTTTCTTGTTTGCGCCCAAACCACCCTCCAGCCAAACTCCCCTCCAGCCATAAGAGCCAACTCCAACCAGCTGGCTGCCTGCCACCACCCCTACCACCCCTGCCACCCCGACCACCCGTGCTCCAAGCAGGTAGTATAAAGGACGTGTTTGATTACTTACACTCCCCCAAACTAACATGGAAACCCATATAGTCCCCTTTTAGAAGGCCTGTAGTCTTCATAGGGCTCTTTTTGGGTTTCCATGTTAGTTTCAGGGAGTGTACATGTCCGGATGTTTATAGCTAGGGGCCCGTAGCTCCAACCTTAATCACAAGGCCTAAAACCTTGCCTCAGGCACGGTGGAGTACCTCTACAGCCCCGAGACCCACACCTTCTGCTTCCTGGAGCTAAACCCGCGCCTGCAGGTGCTCTCGGAGGGTTTGGGGTGGAGGGTATAGGGTTAAGGTAAGGGGCTTAGAGTTTAGGATGTAGGTTTAGGTAGTGTACATCAGAAAGTCATGTTAGGCTTTGGGGTTTATAGAAGGACTGCAGAGGAAAACCTTGCAAGATTTGCAGGCTTACACATGATTCAGTACGAAATGTTCGGCTCAGGGTTTGTGGAGTTTAGAATACGGAGTTTGTTAGTACAAGGCTTCGGGCGTATAGGTATACGGTGCACAGTTTAGAACATCGGTTTTAGGATCTATGTTTTCAATCTATATGGCTTGCAGTATTAGGAGTGTGGGGTTTCTTGATTTCCTCAGGGAGTTCCCAGGAGCCGCAAGCTTCCACCAGCCTTCACTGAAAACCCTAGCAAGGGTGGGTATCCAAATCATCTGTCATCCCCATTTAATCCCCGTAAAGCCACAAACAAATTGATTATGGGGCCCCGGAACCCCGAACCCTAAGCCCTAAACCCTAAACTCCACAGGTGGAGCATCCAGTGACAGAGTCGATCACCGGCGTCAACATGCCAGCCTCTTGGGAGCCGAATTAGCACCTCTGTTCGAGCCAACAGGATTCAGGGCCTAGATAGCCTAATACCTTTCAATGAAAAATATTCCTGACATCATATACTGTTTTGGACCTCGGCATGACTTGAGTAAAAATACCCGTTCATTGAGGTGCAGTGGGCCTTCTTGGGTACACTTCCCTACATCCTATATCCTCATAGATCCCTAGATGCCAACCCCTTAAATCCTAAACCCTAAATAGTAATGTCCATTTTCTTTCCATTGCCCTTATAATATGCCTATATGACCCCTTATACCCCACACCGAGCTCAAATGCGCCTCCAGAATTTCCCGACCTCTATAATCTACGCAGCAGACCCCTGAATGATTGCTATGAACAAATCCTCCTGTATACTTCACAGTCGCACCATGCGAATCCTCAGAGTCCACGCTGTTTCGATTGCTCCAAGTCCAGAGCCGTGAAGCTTAAGCTCATAAAACCGATTTCTGAGCCCACTACCCAATCCATCAAATGACGGTTTAGGGTTCGCCCAACACCTAGGGCCTAGGGTTCTCCCGAACGGAGAAAAAGGTCTAGACTAGTATATAGTCAAGAATAGGCCTCCCCGACACCCTACTAAAGAATAGCCACCTTCTATTGGTGGTATTTCGGGTGTGCGGGGCTGGTTGTTGTCAGGGCCTTGAGTCGTCGCATGTTCGGAGGGGAGGGGGGTATACAGCCAGACTCTTTGGGCGCCTAGGGAATCTTTGCGCAGCTGAGGCAACGCAGCTGCAGATTGCCATGGGCATCGCCCTCTACAACATCCCGGATATCCGGCGCTTCTACGGTTATGACCCTGCTGTTTCTCGGAGAAAACTTCCATCACCTAAGCTGTTGTGAATGTAATTTGGGGAACCACACGACCAGATGTCGCAGAAGGAAAGTCATGTTTTCTCCGAGGGCCCATATCGATTCTCCAGGTTTGCTCGAAGATTGATTTCTTCGCTGTGGACTATCCGCCCATCACCTCTCATTGCTGTGCCTCCCGTATCACTGCCGAGAACCCCGACGAGGGCTTCAAACCCACGAGCGGCAACTTATCCGTATAGTTGGTATATACGGGTTATATGGGGATTACATAGGGCAACATGGGTCGCATACAGGAAATATATTGCAGATTGAGGGATTATGTTGGTAGTTGTTGAGATGTGCAAGCACTTTGAAAGCCAAAGGTCCAAAGGCTTTTTAAGGGTCTTGGTGGTGCAAGTAGGCGCCGCTTCCTTTAATCGAGTTCGAGCCTCCGATTTTCAGTCGCGATCTCACACAGGATTGCTGTTTCACGATAACATCCCCAAGTTCCTGGTATGTATGCCGGCATGCCACTGGCATGCCCCACAAAACCGTGCCAGCAATTAGCGCAGGGATTTCAGTCCAATGGGGGGGCCTGTCACTGGCGTCAAACAACACAATACATACTTCACGGCTTCAGGTTCCCTTACTCTTACCCACTTTGCCTCGTGGAGGCCGCGAAATCCTGTGCTTGAACGGCCCAGGGTTTGGGGCTACAGGTTAGTTCATTTGTTACTACATTGCGTGAACCCACTGGCTGCTTACCAGAAGCAGATGTGGAAATCCAGTGGCGCAGCCACTGGCTTTCAAACCTCCATGAATGACCCCCTGTGTAGGCTTGAAGCCCTTCAGGCAAGATCAACAGCGTTCGCTTCCAATCCTCGGGCGACTGCTGGGGCTATTTCTCCGTTGGCCTCAGGTCTTAGCCTCAGCTCGCATTTAATACTTAATGGGGCCTCAGATGAGGAGATGTGCAAGAAGTCCCATGGGTTTCTGCGGAGTGGATATGTAGCAGTGATGAGCAGTGTATGGCATCAGACCATAGTGAGCATACAGGTGTCACAGACTGTGCAAGTGCATCAGGGGCGGCATCCACGAGTTCGCAGATTCGCAGTTTGGGCACATCTTCGCAAAGGGCCCGAATCGCGAGGCCGCGCGCAAGAGCTTGCGCTTTGCTCTCATGAACATCGACATCCGGGGCGATATCCGCCATCCCGTTGACTATTTGGTTGACCTCATCGAGACACAGGCGTACAAAGACAACACCATTGACACAATGTGGGCGGATCAGTTTAGTACGTTTTTGCATGCATGTTCTTGCTTTATTGCCGAAAGCTACAGCTTGGGATAGTACGTACTGGATTTCAACGTAAACCCACATACAAATTGTAATGTGGTTAGTTTCAAAAAGATATGACCCCAAGAAAGCATAGGCACTCTGTAAGTGCCTACACGCTCCTACCTTTCTCAATTGCCGTATCCCTAATGTAAAGATATGTAAAGATGAAAGCAGCTCCCCGACCCTCAAGCCAAGCGAAATCCAGAGTCATCCAGCTTCAAGAAGCCCCCACCCACACTAGCTCGATACTGCAGACTCTTTTACGGCGGCTAGTAGGCGTCGATTTTGCAGATGTATGTCCGTGGACCTTATGTCGTGGACCCCCCGCCCCCACTCTTATCAGGTGGTTGGATGGTCTTATTGCCAGCCGGGCGATCACGCCAAGCGCCAGTGTCATGGACGCTAGCCTTACATTTAATGTAATACGGGCTGCATGATTACATGTGCGTATTGCAAGGAAATGTACAGATATTTACATATAGATGTAATCTTGCTACGAATCCATAATGGGGTCATATTGGATGCTCAGGCATCATAGGGTCAAGTGAGTTTGCTGGTTCTTCCAGCACCACAACGCCAAGCCCTAAATAACCTCAAATCAAAATGGAGGCTGAAACGCGGCCCCATGAATGACTACTGGGACCCCAAGCCCTTAAACTCCCTGAACGCCGGACGCCCTTTTTGTTTTTGTCTGAGACAAGCCCCCGAGCGTGTGACTGCTCGGGGAACTTACCTGGAGGTTATGGTAGCTGGCCGTTTCCATAAATTGGGTGACCCCCATACAGACCGGAAAACGCTATAATTCATCTTCATCACAGAAACCCCCAACTTTTGGAAACCCCCCGTATGGGTAATTGCAGGCTGAAGTGTGATGCTTGTGGGCCCGGGTAGGGATTAAGGGATACTGGAAGGTTCATCGGACTTAGCAACTACGCCTAAGTGGGCTTATATCTCGTCTTGCAAACTTGAAGAAACCACCACCATACACTAACACTAAATTTGCCCCATGAGATACTCCATATATATATACACAATTATACATATATGGTACACCCCCCAAATGTACCGAGCTCTTTCTGTACAGTACAACATTTTTGCAATTTGAGATTGGTTTCTTTAGGACAGAACAAGACTTTTGCAATATCTTTTTTTTGGGGGGGACACTACAGCACTTTTGCGGTCCCCAATAGTCAAAGTATTGTGCTGTTCCAAAAACCAATCTCAAATTGCAAAATGCTGGACTGTCCCAATAAAACAAAAAAAACATTCTTTTCGAACCTCCAGGGCCTCCTAGAGACCCGAAGATTGGGACGGCACAGCACTTTTGCTAGATGTTCGCAAAAACTTTGGTTCAGTATAGCAATTTGCTTCTGGAGACTGCAAGACTGCAAAAAAAACAACCTCAAATTACAACAGTGCTGTACAGTCCCAATAAAGCAGAAACAACAGTCTGGAGCACCAAAGATTGGGACAGTACAGCATGTTAGTAACTTGGAATGGTTTATCTTGGGACAGTCACAATCTTTAGGGCTCTCGGTCGCCAGGAGTCCCTGGAGGTTCAAAGAGTTTTTTTTTGATTTGGGACAATACAGCACGTCTGCGGTCCCGAAGCAAAAGTGCTGTACTGACCCAAGGTTTCAGTGAAAATCTAGCAAAAGTGCTGTGCCGTCCCAATCTTCAGGTCTCTAGGAGGGTCTGGAGGTTCGAAAAGAATGTTTTTTGGTTTTATTGGGACAGTCCAGCATTTTGCAATTTGAGATTTGTTTTCTTGGGACGGTACAACGCTTTTGCGGTCACCAGAAGCAACAGTGCTGTACTGTCCCGAAGTTTACAGTACCCTCTCGAAAATCGGTAAACCAGGAATCCAGGATTTCCGTATTAAGTTTAATGATTTTAAAAGGAATTCATATAACCCAAATTCCTATCCAAAACTGGACATCCAGGATTTCTGGATTTTTTGTATAATTTATAAAAGGCATTCACATAGACCGAACCCTTCTCGAAAATCGGTAAACCAGGAAATCAGGATGTCCGTGCTATTTTTGATTTGGTTTTAAAAGGAATTCACAAAACTAAATTCCTATTCACAACTGGAAATCCATGATTTCAGTGTTTTCTTATATTTCTCATTGAGTTCATATAAACCAAATTCCAATCTAAAACTGGAAATCCAGGACTTCAGGATTTTTGTCATTGGAATTGAATTCCTAAACTCGCTCAAACATCGGAAAATCCAGGAATGTAGGATTTCCATCTTATTTCTACTTTATTTCTGCAAGGAGTTCATATATGTACCATGTTCCTATCCAAAATAAGAAATCCAGGAACCCAGACTTTTTGTGTTATCTCTAGTTGAATATAGGAGGGAATCCATACGAACCAAATTCCTATCCAAACTAGACAATGCAGGAATCCAGGATTTCTGGGCTATTTCTTATCAAATTAGCAACGGAATTCATATGAACCAAAACGCTATCCCAAATGGGACATCCAAGAAATTAGGATGTCTGTGTGGTTTGAAATAAGTTTGTCAAAGGAGTTCATATAGACCAGGTCCCTATGGAATGCCCAAAATCAAAGAATCAAAGATTCGGAATGGTTTCTATTGAAATTTGAAAAGGGATCTATATGAAGTAATTCCTATGATCCACATGAAAATTCGAAATCCGGAGATCTAGGATCTTTGCAGCATTTCTAAGTATACAAACTTGAAAATCCATGAATCCAGGATTTTTGGATAATTTTTCATCAAATTTTACAAAGAATTAATATAAGCCAAATTCTTGCCCAAAAACCGGAAATCCAAGAATCCGTGATGTCTGTCTTGTTTCTAATCTATTCACTTCAAGGGCTTCGCGCTTTCGCGTTTAGGGCTACTTCTGTAAGCTTGGAAGAATAATTCTAACAGCTCCCCTGTGCCTTCATACAGCGAAGACATGAGTAAGAACAGACAGCAATGGTCTTTGAGTTGCTTGGCAATATCTTTCAAATGACAGATTTTTCCCTGTAAATGGAGCAGGGTAGCACATATGTATATATATATATACGTGTGTATTTGGGAAGATAGTTGACATTAGGGGTCAGGGCCAAGTCATGTATAAAGTGCTTGGAGCGTGCACGGGTTGCCCTTAAATACCCTATAAGAAAGCCATATACATAGGTTTATGGTACCTTTCCTAGATAGGGTGACCCTAATAGAAACCCGCATATCTTGCCATAATCTTTACTATAGAGCCCCCCCCCATCAGTACCTCTGAACTTTGAGAACTCTCTATGTTGAAGGTGTTGAAAGGGTTACTGTGAGTCTCACTGAAGCTTGCAACCCTAACCCTTAACTTTGTAACCTTAGAGTTTGCCACCTCGGGGCCTGTGGGCCCAAATTTCTTAACTGAGCGCTTAATCCCATGTGTCAAGGATCCAAACGCAAGGGCGCATACCCTCAGGCTAGAAAGGACACCTCCCTGAACCCTAGATCCCAAAGCCTAAGCCCCAAACCCTAAACCCAATACCTCAAACCAAACCCGAAACCCTCAACCCCAAACCAAAACCCTAAACTCTATCAGTATCAACCTAGGATGTGGTGTTTTATGCCGCTGCCTTCCGTGCCTACGGCATGGTGAAGTCGAGAACCCAGGCCTGGGGGTCTGGGGGTCAAGATGTAGGTCCGTTTAAAGGGTCCAGGGTTAAAGGGACTTAGGGTTATACAGCTTAAGGGTTTAAAACGGTTGTACAATTTAAAGGTTTAGGGGCTTAGGTTTTGAGAGTGTTGGTTTTTAGGGTGTATAGATAGAAGTTGTAGACGGCTCATGTCTGGAGTTCTGAGCGGATTTGACGTATTTTCTTTTCTGTTTGACCGTTTCTCGGCAGTTCATGGCCCTATACGATTCATTTTTGTCCTGCGCTTTAGGGTTTCGGTTGTGGCGTCTGCAGAAAAGAGTTGTCGGTTTTAGGTTGTCCTGCATGACCCTAGTTGCCTTTAAACTTCGGAACAGCGGAGATATAGTATAAACAGGTGATGCGTGGTTTTCAGTATCAACAGTAGCGGTGTCCCTTTGAAGGGGTCATAGAGATGTAAAGGGTCTAGGGTTGAGGTTTTCGGATCAGAAGCCCTAAAGCCTAAAACCTAAAGCCTAAGCCCTAAACCCTCAACCCTAAACCTGAAAGTGACGTGGAAGCTGTCTTTACGTAGGACTTGAGGTGGCTTATACTCTGGGAAAGAAGGAATGGAAAAGAACAAGGAAGCTACCACAGCGATTTTTTTGGATTAAGGGTTTAGGGCTCAGAGCTTGGGCTTTGGGGTTTAGGGTGTAGCGTTTTCAACTTTGTTCAGGGTTTTGGTTTGATGGTGTGCAGGGTTCTGGGTTTAGGCTTTGGGGTTTAGAGCTTGGGGGATGGAAAATAGAACTGAAACCATGTAGGGTTCTGGGTTTAGGGCGCTAGACAGGGGACGGAGGAATGGGTTATAGTGAATATACATGGGGGTTGTATAGGGCCTGTAAGTGTCTAGTAGGATGTCTGGGATCTTGGTCTTGAAGGTTTAGGTGGTGAAGAACCTACATGATGACATGCGGAAGCCTTTTTGCAAGAGGGTTTAAGGGTTCAGGGTGTGAGTTTGGAGTAGGTGAGGATCGTGGCATTGAAGCCCAGACAGGTGTAGCGCTACTCCCCGTACTCAAATGTTTCGGGTCTAGGGTTTAGGGAGAAGCTTAGCGCAAATCAATTATTCTGGCCCGCTTTAATGGCGGGGCTGTCTGGGGTTCTTCAGGTCTTTTTGTGGGTCATACCATTTTCAAGATGCATCCCGCAAAGGTAGCCTGGCCATACTTTCCGGCCGTGTCTCTAGATATTTGGAAAAATGGCAACATGAGGAAAAGGGTGCGCATAGACTTCCGTAGGAGTACAGGTTTTCGGGACATTCAAGGATTGCAAAGTTGCAAATCATAAGGTTGCCATTGCATTTTTGCTCAGGTGACCGTATCTTGCTATGACTGCGCAGTGGGCTTGCTGCTAATAATCAGAACCCTGCTTCGCCAAGAATCTGTGTTGCTTCTGGGGGACATGGAGGGTTGTGTTGACAGTTCAAAATAATTCCCTCCCCTAATACTGTTCAGAAGCTAACATTAAACCCCCGCATCCCCCCCTAATATTAAATGCTCCCAATATATAATAATATACCATAATATTGGGGAGGGCCCTAAACTCTAACCCTAAACCTTCATGTGTCGTTTTGAGACATGCTCAGGATGCAATCGACTCCATGCAGAAGGGGCAGCTGGTCTTGTTGGGCAAGAGCGACACGGATGCTCTGGTAGACTTCCCCGTGGACATTACCTTCGACGGCAAGAAATTCTCCTTTCAGGTGCCAGTTGAATCAAAAATCAAGGGTTTCTTGAAACTACGGCTTCTGGAATGTTTGGTATTTGATAAATAGGCCCCCCTTTCCTCTGAGGGACCAATGAATGACCACTTGACTCCCCGAGCTGACTCTTCAGAAAAGAAAAATTGCAGCAGTTGGGGGCAACCCTACACCCTGGACCTTAATGTCTTAGTCTCCATGTGCATGCATTATCCACAGAACGTGCCAGATGTGGAGGGCCCCTCAACCCCCTGGACCTATAAGTATCCCATTCTCAGGTCTGAGCTCCTCGAAATACTCTAAATATCTCCGGTAAGCATCCTCATAGTCTCCTTTACAATGTCCATATGATAGCTTGTCAAAATCATGCGCCATCTGAACCGCCTACTATATACCCCTACCCTAGAGTTTCTTGGACGCCCTTCCACCCCATTTTGGCGAAATCCCCAGGTGTCGCGAACCCGTTCCGACCTCTACGCGTTCACCATCAACAACAAGACACTCAAGGCTAAGGTGAGGGAGCAGCCAGATGGTTCTCTCTATGCCGCTCGGTGTGCGCGGCAAGACCCAAGGTTTAGGCTCTGGGATTTAGGGTTTGGGGTTTTATAAGCCCATAAATGGGGAATCCAAGGAACAAGAAATGGTAGATGGAATGGAAACTGGGAGACTATTGTGGTTTAAAGGGTTTAGAGCTAGGTAAGGAGAAGCCGAGGTATACGAGCATGTGGTATACTTTAGGAGGACCCCCCACCCTGTAATTGTGGCATAATAAGAATATAAGAGGACCCGAATATGATCCCCATTATCCCTTATAGTCACTATTACTGGGTGGGGGGTCCACCTAAGGTATACTGTAGTCTCGTACACTTGCTTTGGCAATAGGACTTGTTTCGTAATCTCCTCTGCGAGGTCAGGTTTGTCGGCTGTAGAGTTCAATGGCGGCCTTCTATTTCCCCGTGCAGAATTCAGGTGTGCAGTGTGCTAAGTGAGGCTTCAGGAGTGTACAGTCGGGTTAGGAAGCTGGAGGCCAGTTTGGAGGGCAGTCGGAAGAAGTCACGGTGTGACCTTCAATTGGCTGGTGCAAGCAAGCTTTCGCAATTCAATGCTGAAATACGGACCCCTTGCAAATTTCCTTCGTCCTGTTGACGAGGAAATCCTGCACCAGCGTTTCAGTAATCCACCGTACAAGGCCGTGTGCAAACCCCATGAGGCCCATATACTCTTTTACAAGGGCACTGACACGAACCTCTTTATTAACCAGATGTGTATTTCATATTCCAATTCATTCCGCTTTATTAGGGTAGCAACCCCAAACCCGAAACCCTATATACCTCCCCACCCAGACTCCCCGCGGCACCCACATATAACCGGTAAACAATCCCTATATGAGCTGGGACAAAAACCCAGGTCTGTACGGTTACATAGATCTGACGGAATTTATCGCCCTGTGCGGACCATTGGAAAACGAGACTAAGAGCAAATCAAGCGATAGCGTTGTAGTTTATGTAAGTACATGGAAAGACGATAAAAGTAAACAACAGCTTGATAACCTGTTGAGTTGGATGGAAGTGACCCTAAACCCTAAACCGTTATCCCCAAAATACGCAAGCTGCTGAGGTGAGCATTGGCAACATCAGCCAGCAAGTGACTTGCCAATTGTTAGTATGAAGGGAGAAGTGAAAAGAACAACAAGGCAATCCAGTATATAACCCATAGACAACCCATATACAGGCATAATGGTCCCCTGTAACGTCCCCTGAGCCCTTCATTGCAACTTGAGGTTTTCAACCCCAAGCCCCAGGAACGGGTTATCAGAGTAGCTCACATAGACTCCCGCAATAACATCGTGTTTTCGATGTCCTCCCCCGAAGCCCTAAAACCTGACTGGTAGTTTCCGTTTTCCTTTTCATTCCCTAGGCTATACCCTGGTTTAGGGTTTAGGGTTTAGGATTATTAATATAGTTCCCAACGATATGGTAGTCACCTTTTTCTTTTCCACCCCGCGTTGCCTACGTTCCACCCTATTACCCGATGTAAGGCTGAATGCCCTCAACCCTCAACTTCCTAAACTGCAACTGAAAACCCCCTACCCTAAGCCCAAAATCCTAAACCCTAAATCCCAAGCCCCCATATTCCCCACCCTCCAAAACCGTCAGCCAGGTGAGTAGTATTTCATTTGGGGAGATTATAGTACCCAACATAGAGTAAGATTACATCCTCCTTTCTGGTATAGTGTTTTAGATACATAATATGAATATTGGGTTCAACCTAAACCCAAAAACCTAAACCCCAAACCCTAAATTCCAATCCCGAAGCCCTAAACCCTAAACCCTAAACCCCTAAACCCTAAACCCCTAAACCCCTAAACCCTACTCAGGTGAAGGGTCAGGAGGAGGCCCTGGGACTGAGACTCATCATCGGAGCTCAGACCATTATGGTCCCTACGGTTTCTCACCGGACTTCGCCTTTCTAAAAAGCTTTTAGGGTCTAGGGTTTGGGGTGTAGGGTTTGGGGAAGTTTAGGGTGGTGTTATATCCCCAATAAGGTAGAATTATAGAATGGGAGGAAAAGTATTTCTGAGGGTGTGTGGAGGGCGGGATCCTGGCGGTTCCTCGCCTGAGGTAGCCTTTGAAGGGGTCATACAGGGATTGGCATATATGAGCTATAGTCTAAACTCCTGCATGGGGGNNGAGTTTAGACCATGGCTCATGTGAAATAGGTATTTTGTTGATCGTTTTTGATGAGTGTATATAGTGCTCCGCTGGGATATGGTGAGGGCATATATTTAACAATTATCCAACTTGGGACCATAAAGCAGAATCGTACTACACTATAAACATGGAGGATACAGAGATATTGACGGATACGTGGAGTTGAGGGATTGCTGGCAATTGGGGTTATGAGGAATAGGACCTTACTTGGTTCAACACCCAAACATTACCCACCTTCCCATGACAAAGCTTTCATGCTGGCGAAGTGTGAGGTTTACGACCCGTCCGAGCTCCGCTCAGACGTGAACGGCAAAGTGGTGCGCTACTTGCACGATGAGGGCTCCGAGGTTGCTAAGGGAGAGAGCTACATTGAGCTGGAAGCCATGAAGATGATCATGTCTCTGAAGGCCTGCTGTGAAAGCTTAGGCTGTTAAAAAGGGTGAGCACGACCGAGGCTTTTTTTGAGGATTCCTATACAACTTCACGGGATGGCTGGTTGCGCAACTTTGACTGAAAATGACTTAGGGCTTCCTGACTCCTGACCACCCCCCCCCCCCCCAATTACCCCGTATACTACCGCGATCCCCAGGCTCTTCAACAAATTCGTCTCAACTTCCCCAAGCCCTAAGGACCTGAAGCCCTACAAAGCAACATAAGCCCCAAAGTCCCTACACCCTACAAAGGCAACCTAGGCCCTGAAGCCCTTAAACCC